ACAAAAGAATGATTTTCTCTGGGCTTTAGAACAAATTGCAGTGCTCGCTACGCTCGTTTTGACAATTTCGTGACATCAAGAGTGTGTCAATAATAGGAGCCATGCACAGTTTGTTAATGTCAATAGGGCTAGCTGTCTAGGGTATAAAACCGTTTTTTTTGTTATCATAAGCGTAAAAATAACGAAAACCTGTTTTTCGTATAAAACAATGTTCGAATTTGTATGCATTCAGTTTTGGAAATAATAAAATACATGGTAAAAAATGGTCAAKTGATCTTTTGTTAGATCTTTTGCATTGATCTTGTATTAATTAAACTCTAATATAATGCGGCAGCTATTCTTTTCAGTTGCCGATTTTTGTGTGTGTGTTTTCTGTAGTGGCAGCTAAAAATTTACTGACAAAGGGACATTTTTGTAACTGCTCACTGCCTACGCAGACTCCATTGACATCAAGTGGGTGGAATTAGGGAGTCTCAATTTTTAAATAGAGATTCTGAGCCCGGGGGGAGGGTTAGGGTTAGGGGTTACTGCCTCCCGAACTTGGACAATTTTTGTGATTTTACATACCCTACCCCAGACTACCTCTATTCTAGACAAAAAACTACACTACCCCAGACAAAACTACTACCCTATCCCAGACAAAAAGACTACCCTATCCCAGACAAAACTACTACCCTATCCCAGACAAAAAGACTACCCTATCCCAGACAAATGGGCACAAAATGATACCCTATCCCAGGATTGGAGCTCTGAAAAAGGGACCCTATCGAGCGGCACATACCCAAATAGCAAATATAGGGGAGTACCCCCCTGGATTCTGGGCAAAGTGAGATTTTGACAATGATTACTTTTCCAATTATTTAGGAAGGGAGTAGGGGGGATTATGGTCATATAGTGTGACACTGAGAATGTACATGATCTCTCATCATTAATACATGGTATATATTCCCTATTTAGTCTTGGCTGTGTTTTTTGGTTTTTATTTATTTTTTTGACTGGAGGTGGGGGGAGAGGGGGAGTGACTGACTCAATTTAGATGGAAATCKYCAACAGGGATTTGTTTTTGGCAATTTTTACAACAACAATGAACTATCCAAACCTGCCTCWGTATCCACCTCTTTGCTTTTTCTTTTTGGGCTTCCTGTGGGAAGAGCAAGGTCACCAATGCACAATTCACAAAAGTATATTTTTAGCCATAAGACTATTGTTGCGATTTGGTTTTTATTATAGTGAAAATGAAGGATTAACATCCAAAAAATCAGTAATTATTTCACCTACTTTTTTACAATGTTAAATTTATCTTTTACAAACTGTTTCTTTAGAAACACTGACGCAGCTTACATGCACTAGTTTAYYGCTAGTTCCCACCATATAGAGAACAGTCAGGTTRCCGTGGAGAKGCCTTTGTTGACATTCCCTACTTTGCCWCTGCATTCAATGCACACATTTTATTTACAAATATGAGATCCTACAAAACTTAAGTAATTTGTCTGTAGCACTTTGGGAGTGGGCRGATGTGATATAAACATTTAGAACTTTAAATCAATAAAACACAAATCACACAATCAAATTAAATTTTAAAAATTTATTATTAATAAAAATTCTACATTTCTGTTACTATTGCCATGTCTTCACTAGATGCTTATCATTTGAGAGTCAAAGTACAAATAGGTTTGATACCTAAGTATTTATGCAWTGTGATAAAACTATTGCTATGAAACAATGAGATCACTAACTAACTCATGCTGTTGTACTTGACAACAAGTCAATGTGTACAAGAAGTTCCCACGCATATTAGCTCTAGTCCTTAGTTGCTATTATTTATACAATGGCCAACATGAACTCATACCTCAGTGAAATTAAAAATCTTATAAGAATATATACAATATTTGTTCATAAATTATTGATTCTACATGTCTAGATGATGTCATCGATAATGTTTTTTCATATATTGGTTGACATGACAACAGATACTGGTCAATGATTGGCCTAGGGCCATACTCCTTATAAGTGTACTTTATAAACAGCTTCTTGGAAGCCAACATAAATATTTTGATCTTATATTGTTCTTGGAATATTCCTGGATAAACATAACATCCAGAATTCTTACAAATGGTATAACAGTATCCATAATGTCTTGTAGGGGAAGACAGGAATTAAGTTGTAGTGGTTATRCCATTTTCTGTTCATACTGTATAGCCAAAGGTCTCTATGTAGAGTTCCTGTGGCATCACTTTGCTGTATATATTACTTTAAGGTAGTCCTWTTTATGGTCAGCTTTTGACATACAACATGGCTGCGAGTGTACCAAGACCAAGTGTTGTGCACAGAAGACTGTTCCACCAGAATTTCTCATTCTCTTCCTTTACATCTTTGAATTGTTCAGTAAAAGCATCCTGTAGAATGATCAAAAATAGCTCAGATTGTTTATTTTGAAAACATCTCTAAAATTAATTGTTATCAGGTTATCTGCTACTACAAGAATTTACACTTCAGTAAACACCACATTTTTGACAAAATGTTTTTCGTTGGAAAAGCAAAATTTTAGTGTAAATTCAATCATCTAAAGTCATTGGTACAATAAAAACCGAATAACAAATAATCTCAACTACAGAAARACAAATAACAATTAGGAAATCTAGGACTCGCTGTGACACAACATTGAATGTTTATTCATTCAGTTCGTCAACAAAATAATTGGGATTCCTTCAAAAAACTGTTTCATCTAAAAAATATAGACTGACGTTCGAATGTTTSAAGTATAAAGGGAAATAACTAGACAGTATAGCTAATTTCTAAAGACAAAATATTATCGCCAATAATTTGCGCGAAAACAAAAATTATATTGATATGCTTGAGCGAATTTCGTGGGAAGAATTCGATCACAATCGTGAAAAATATTTTTGTAGCTACTGTCTTCTAGATCTTTTGTTGTTTGACTGATGAATTTTGGAAGTTTGCCCTAGCCACCCAGGAAGGGCTAAAATACGATGAATGATTTTATCTCCATTTATGGTAACGTCAAGAGAGATTTCCACTTAATTTATCTCTGAAGGAATAAGTCCTGCCCTCAGAAAGCAACAAGCACGTACAGACACGATTTGTCTTTTACTAAGAAAGGAAAATAGATTGTTTATCAGCTTCAGTATAAATATTGATTATCGTCACTTTCATTTTATTTACTTCCTTTTTCCCTTCTCACATCCCGTTCACGGGAAAAACCGCCCACTGAAACTTTCACAATCAAGTCATCAATTGTAAAAAGAATTCAAAGAATCGACTTGAGTTTTCATACATAAAGCCTTTTTTTCTTTTTTACTCGAGTAAAATCTAGAGTATACGCTTACTATTCCGCACCGGACTCCGAGTTTAAAACTACAGTTCGGTATAGTTCACGCTCAGTGTTCATTCAAACTTACCCATCCGCCTGCTTTTCGAATCCAGTCGGACTTTTTCGCCATGTAATTTCCAATCCATTTTGAAATCTCGTCACTCAAATCAGTTCCATTTTCGTGAAAATGTTCGGCTACCTTTGCTCCGAAAGTGTACAACACAACGATACGGCCCCAGTTGATATCATTTCCGATAAGCTCATCGGCGATTTGTCCGCATGTTTCTGTTACATTACGTTCATTCAAGTCAAGTCGATTGCACAAATTCTTGAACAAAGCTTCGTGCTTTTGCTCGATTTGTGTGCTCAGCTTTCGAAGTAAACAAGCGGTTTTACTGTTCAACAAATTTCGTTTGCCAATCTTCCACTGTATCAAGTCTTTGGCTAAATCCAAAGCCAGTTTTTCGTCGAGAGATTTCATTTTTCTTACATCCATAGATGCGTCGTCGTAGTCAGGTATTATCGGTGGCATTTTGAATGAATTACACGAATTATAAACTTCCTCAATCGTAAGTTTCTCTTATGCTGTTGTGTCGAGCTCAAAGTCTGTCTTGCGAAACAACCAAGCCCGTAAATATAAACCACTAGTGCATTCTGATTGGTTGATAATTTTAGACATTACGAAAATTTCAAAATCACTATGGTAACGTCTGGGTAATAGCATTCATTACGCTTGAAGGTCCTTGAAGACAGCACGTCCTTCGTGTTTACTGAAAGATACCATTTTTATTGCTTTCTAGATTACTGAATCTAAAAACAAATTGCTCAAAGGTATCGAATTAATCACAAGAATATTTGTACCCAACAACTCGAAAAAAATTTTTTTTTAAATGAGTAGTGTTTTCATATAGCTCCCATTTTATATTTGTGCGAATTTTTTATAAATATTTCACATTTTTTAACTTCACATTTTTTTCCGTTTTTTAAAGTATGTGTATTTTTATCTTTCATTCATATTTTATTGGTTTTATTACGATCATGCACTTAGTGACGAAACGAATCCAACGGCGAGTGAAATTACTACGTCACACGATCTTTTTTCAATCAAGTCGAACAAGCTATTTAAGTAAAATTATATATAACATTCRCAACCTGTTTTAGCTCACATTTTCGTGAGATTGCCATCACATTAAGTTACCCAAAGCCAGGTTATCAGGAAGGTCCATGTTAGTATATGGTCAAAAAGTAAAATAATAATAAAAGATGATAAGTTTGGCAGCCCATCTGTCTGCATTCATTGCGTGTCACTGGGCTGAATCATAAATATTTATTTGGTTCGCAGACCAGTAGGAATTCGTCTTTTAAGGCAAAATAAAAGAAGTTAAGAGTAATTCAATTACTAGGTTAACAGGGGTCGTTGTTTAGACAGGGTGGTGGGTTTTTCAAAACAGACGGTCAATAGATAGTTGGTACATTTTTGGGGGGTGAAATAATTTTTGCAAAAAACCATTGATTGTGGCACGTTGCAGTAATTTGAACGAACTAAGGTCCGCCCACCTCTTTAACAATTACTACTACACCGAATGTGGCAGACCTTGTGGGATTATGCAAAAGCCAGAGGGAAAAAAGTGTTTCCGGTGTAAATATGACGTCACTACGGTCGATTGAAGACTACACTAGAATGGTCGAGAAACAATGCCTTTTTGACTGGCTTAACGCCACCATTCCAAACTGTTGTACGTTTTCCAAGCATTGATAACTGTGTGTATGTGTGCTAGAGGGCGATTTGGGGCTTGGCGTTTGATTTTTCATTAACCACAAGATTTGAAAAAATACAATAGAGGAATGATAAGAAAACAAATCTAGAGAAATTCACAGTAAGAAGAATAGAAAATAGGTATTAAAACTAAAAATAATATTAAAATAACAAAAATTGTTTAAGTTTCCTTCGTTTCGTCCTGTTCTCTTGGATTTCAAGTGTTSAAAGAGGCTATTACCTTATAAGTATTTTTGTTTTCGAGGCAAAGACGTTTCCATTTCAAACGACTGCTTATGAAAAGGCCTTAAAATAGATTCCAAAGCTCATACATAATTAATGAGTAATATTTTGTGATGTAAKATTCTGTTTATCGTATAATTATTATGTTTGACAGCAAATTATGTAGTAAAATACCTTTTCTTTCTTCCAATACCTCGAATGTGTTTTTTTCCAAAAACTATTCGAAAAAGAGAATTATTGGTATTTTTGTTGTTGCGTAAACTGAGCTCTTTTCATAAATTGTCATCTCACTTCCAAAAGCAACCGTAAAAGAGACGACGAATCGGAAGACGAGTGCATCTCAACTTCCATGCATATATGGAGGGTTGGGGATGATCGTCGTACATATTTCATTTGTTTCCCCTGTTTGTAACATTGATAGATTCGATGTTGAGGTCACTAGAATTGCCAAGAGTGCCGTTAAAAATATGGATTTGTCAATTTTTAGTTAGTATATAAAGGGTTGAAAATATTGTATTGTCACCTCCTTTCTCGTAAGAACCTGGTGTCGTTTAAATTTTTTTTACATTTCCGACGATCTCCCCCATCCCCCAGATATGGGACTAATTCATTATTTCATGTCCTTAAACTTAATGCAGCTCTTCGGGATATTTCTTGATATCCTTCGCTCAAATATGATATCACTGCTTTTCCTAGCCTGCTTTACTGTAATATTTTAATCTATATGATAGTCTGCAGCAAGTCATGTGAGAAGTTTCAATGCAAGACACGTGACCTTTCTGCCGTTGTTTGTGGTTATTTTATATCGTCGTCACATGGCTGAATTGTTTTATTAGTTATCTATCTGTATGTGTCATTCAGGATAGATTAGTATTTTATTGTCTTTGCCAGTCATGTGTGAGTGATGAGTAAGGGCTGATCCAGGGCTTATTAGAACAGCAAGAACGGTGTAAAAATCTTTTCTCATACTCATTAATTATTCATGAGGTATCCAGACAATCCTTGATTGTAATTTGTACCACGTGAAGTAACTTGAAACCAAAGGAAGTACTCCTACCTTTGTATTCTACCTTATTTCCATTTACTTCTACCTTTTTCAAGTTACTTCTACATTATTTCCAGCTATTTCTACTACTATTTCTGGAAATAATTGCGCGGACTTGAAATCCCGTCCAGTCCTCATTGTCGGACTTTAAACATTACTTCTAGTTATAAGAATCCATGTCAAATTTCTTCACTATTGTATTACTTCACTTTACGTTCTCTTTTTGGAGAACATATTTCATTTGACGTCCGTTATGACATGCATAATGATCTGGGTAGGCATTGGGAGGGGGAATTGTTATTGTATATTTTTGCAATCGATCTTTTTTGAGATTATACAATTTCATTGTGAAACAACTGATAAATATTAAACGCACTTGATCATTTTTATTACAATTTCATCGTAGGACAACTGATCGAAATGAAATGCAATCGATCTTTTTGGAGATTATACAATTTCACAGCTTGTTTTCAACACTTTTAATGTCCTTAATTCTGCTGGGTAAACAAGKTACTTTATTGAGTAAACTTTCCTCTTGCGACGTCTGTTGATGTCTTCTTTGTTTCAGTTTTGTCGTTTCATTTGCTTCTTCACTATATTTTGTTTTCCTTTCTTTCGCAGCATGAAGAAGACCCCGCATCTCCTGCATTTGYATCATAAATGCGATCATCACTGATGATCCAGGAAATCTCACTGGAAGTGGGACAATACTGCCTCTTCGGTTACAACGTCCAAGTCCAGTTCTGCCGGACAACTTTGTATAAATTGGTCTAGATACACGGTATCTATCCTATTCGATAATGACAAGATAATACATCCAGTACAAGAAGTTGAATATGACATATGTCAAAGGAAACAGTATTTTTGCCCAGGCGTCGATTACTTCGGGGGGTGTCAGAAATTTCTGKGTAAACCAATTCACAATGTCAAACTTCTTTTTAGATGTTACTTCATATTTTTTAGGAGTGGATTCTTGGATGAAGTCAAAAGCGTCTTTGGGAGCACCATTAGAATATCCCGTTGAATTGTCKATGCTTTCAGTGTCCTAAAAAWTCACCAACAAACCAAGAATCAAATCAATAAACGGTGGATSTTCGTTGACAGGGACGGATACAAGGGGGTGGGCAGGGGGGCGTTGCTCCACTTCTGTGAAATTCCTGATTTATTTGTATCAGTTTTTCATTGAATATCATATSATAATCTATATCATGATACAACTAATCGCACACTTCTTACTTGCATCGTGGTTCTAGTAATTGTGAAGCGCATGTTTTTTAAAACTCATTAATTATTCATGAGCGCTTAGTCCAATGAGTATCGAACCATTCGTTCACATGATGGGCCTTTATATCCCGATAAAGCACTGATGTTTTATTAATCAGTTCTATATCAGATATACTCTAGCGCGTGTTTATCGCCTGCAGCTCGAATCTATATATCTCAGGATAAAACACGCACTCTCGTTCTATAAGCAACACATACGGCAGCTCCATGATACAGGTTTGCAAAAATCTATATACAGTCGAACGGCCTTCTATTTAKCGGTCACCCTCCATTAAGCGGTCACACATGAATTCCCTACAGTCGACTCTCATACTAGTCTCCTCGCAGYCGTTCTTAGTGGCGGGCTCCCTGTCCCCCACAGGGAGCCCGCTACTAAGAACGGCTGCGAGGAGACTACTCTCATACACATTTACTGCARAACCTGATCTCAGTTAAACGGTTAACATCTAGTCACCCGATCTTTCTCCAAGGTGACCGCTTATAAATGGAGGTTCGACTGAAATCAAGGTTTTTTTCCTACAGTATATCGTATACTTGTGATTTGAGTATGATTTCCAGTGTTTTTTTCATTGTATTTACCTTATGTGATACCGTTGATCCATTCTCCTCTAGACGTTTCTCTGTCTTTGAGCGTCGATAAATGCCATCCCTGTAGTTAATCACGGCGTATTCCGCAAAGGCCGCAAAAACCATAAAATAAGATACAAATAAATACCAATCAAGAGCTTTGACATAAGCTACTACCGGCAACGAACCCTGGCCGATACCAATCAAAAGAGTTGTCATCGTTAAGACTGTTGTTATTCCGAGAGACACACGAGCGGGTGCCGAGCGTCTGTCGACATAAAAGGATAGCCACGATAGCATTACGATCAGAATTGCAGGGATGTAAACCTTTGTAAAATAATGTCCAAGTCGACGTGTAAAACGCATCTTGATACCAAGAGCCGAGTAATCACCTATACCAAACAAAATAGATATCAGTGGTGGTATGGCACGCTATGATACGTGTACTGTTTGTGCTGTGCTGTGCTGTGCTGTGCTGTGCTGTGCTGTGCTGTGCTGTGCTGTGCTGTGCTGTGCTGTGCTGTGCTGTGCTGTGCTGTGCTGTGCTGCACCCTGCATGATGTACTTGTGCCGTAATGTGGAAAACGGGCATCAACAGTGGACTGTACTGTACTCATGTGCGCTTTGCTTGCTGTGCTGTGTACTGTACTCATGTGTGCTTTGCTTGCTGTGCTGTGTACTGTACTCATGTGTGCTTTGCTTGCTGTGCTGTGTACTGTACTCATGTGTGCTTTGCTTGCTGTGCTGTGTGTCGGTAGTAGTGTAACGTGATGTATATTTTTACCGGTCGAATATCGCCGAGTAATGTTTATCCTACTAATATTCTTTAACAAGAACTGCGGTATATCTTGTTCATTCGACCAGGTTTCGTGTTTGGTCTGCCATTCGTATACAATATCTTGTGTAGTGTAACCATCTTAACATAAGCAACAAATTGTAGTTAATATATAATACCAATATGATTTTATCAATGTGGGATGGTAACTTACAGCTCACGAGATAAATTCCACATTCCTGCTCATCCATTGGAAACTTCCTAAAGTCCATTGAGCACGAACAKGTCAGTGTAAGTCTGAAGGAAACAAACTCAGTTGGCGAATGACCACGTGTTAGCCCCACCCTATAGCCCCTTACATACCTTGTGCTGGTTAGAATAAGACCATCTCGATGAATTCTATAAAATTTGTTCTTTGCTAATAAAGTATGTACTTTGCCTTCTACTTCGTTTTCAAAAATTGTGTCAGGCTGCCAAAAACTGTCGCTTAAATCGCCGTTCAGTGTTATACTTGGGACATCGGAGTCATCATAACGCAGTCTTGGATCTTTCCATGATTGACGGAAATACATTTCAACTGTATATTGCTAATGGTACAATAGGATTTTAAGTCAGTTTGAACATCACAATAGAAATATAACAACAGATCAGAACAAAGATTGGATCACTWAAGGCCCGTTTATACTTGCAATTTTTGCAGCGCGATTGTCGCGGGACAATCGCCGTAGTTTCGAACATGCTTGAAATTAATGTTTGATCGCCGCGACAATCGCGGGGYTGTTTACACGTACGATTTGAGGTGCGAGAGAACACGAGAGAGAACGCGATTGTTGCGCGACAATCGAGCTGCAAAAATTGCAAGTGTAAACGCGCCTTAAGTCTACTTTACAGCCTCTCCTTTTTAGGGGGGCTACCTTACCGGAAGTTTTAGTCTCCTCTCGCAGCCGTTAGGATGTTCGTTCCCAGGTCACTCTARGGAGAGTGACCTGAGAACGACCTCATAATAACCTAACAGCCGCGAGAGGAGCCACTACGGAAGTTACGGCTATAAGAGAATTGTATCGTTATGTCATAAAAGATATTTTCAATTGAGCAAAATGACCGACGATCAGTAATTATCAATTCATAATAACTGCCTTCCAAACAGCACTCAAATGAAAGCTTATAGTTCCTGATCCAATTTTTGCTATGTGAAGAAGTCAGTTCAGTAAAGTGAGTAAAATCGATATGCATACCATGTCAGCTTCTCTAAAGGTCCCAATAGACATGAGTTTGATGTCAGTCTTGACAATAACAGGTGCTTTCCCTAGTTAAAAGACAAAACACGGTCAGTGCTTTGCAGCTATTTTATACTGGCGCGTCGTATGTACATCTGCGCAAGAAAAAAACAACAACACATTTTTAACTTTCCTAGATACATTTTTGTTCTCGTTTATTGGGCGTTATTGCTCGGGCTCCTACGCATTGATATATTGTTTGCAACTGAAAAAATAAGATTCGGTTTATAGACTTGTTGGTAGATTGTTGGCGCATTTCTTGGCCAATTTCATCATATTTTTGCGTGTCGTAGCTCTGAAACAAAAACGACATCACCACCCCCCAAATTACTGTTTGAATTAAGATGTTCAAAATCGTATGTTCAGATGCAGGGGCTTCTTTTAATGTCGTCGCACCTGAAGTTGTCTCCATACGGAATGGTTGCGCTGAAACATTTAAAAAGTCTCGAATATTCATCAATTCATCACTATCAAGGGTTTTACGAATAAACTGCAGATTTTTGAAGATGAAACCAGAAAAATTGAATTATTAAATTACTAAACCATTCACTGTGTAAACTTTTAGAGTTATTAARGGTCACAGCATGATCGGCACATGTAAGCACTTTACATGCGACATTTATGACGAACGTTGCTGATCAGAATAGCTCTCACCTGAAGCRTACGGTCTGAATAATTTATTTGTTGTTTTCTGCAGTAGTCTTTGAATGACTTTTGTCACATTCTGTGAATCTTCTGAAACTGCATTATTTTCATCGCATGATGTAGTCCTGCAGAGGAAACATAAAGTCTGATTTTAATATTAATGAATTTATTGTTGTCATGAATACACATGATTCCGCAGTGAGTATGAATTTACCAGGGGTCCCCAATATATGAAGCAATCGTACAGATTAATGCATATTAATGCATGTGGTTTTATTTATATCCTATTACCATTTTATATACTACAGTCAGTTAAATTGATAACAAAAATCATAGTTAATAGAGGGGACTRCCAGTCCCCTCTATTAACTATGCAAAAATACATAAAACTAACGAAGAAAAACCCTTCAGAAGTATTTAACAATTACACGGCGAAGTCGAGTAGACTACGAATTGATAGTCCATGAGATCATACTCGACTGAATGGACTATATCATCTCAAAGTTCGCGCTAAAGACCAAATTCGAAAAAAAAAAACACAAAGTGCAATTTTTCTTGGCTATTTTCGCCTTATTCGATTCGACCATTGTCTWTCATAAATAATAAGAATGCTGGATTTGCGATGTTTCATGGTGAATACTAAACTGCTTTAACCTGAGTCAAAGAAACATKATACTTATTATACATGTTATTACCAAACATTATTATTATTATTATTAATAAAATCTTTATCATCGAAATCATGTTTAAATGAAGATACAGGAAGCAATATGGTGTCAATGACGTAATGCGATTTTCGTCGAAATGTACTATGGGATTGATGCAAGTATYTACTTAATGTTGTTGTATGTCAGGCTGTTTTGTGAATAACAAGCATTAATTGTTTCTCAGACCAGTTTTCGAATRCACTTTACATTGCAGTACTTTAATTTGTTGTTTTTATCATATTAAGTCCTCTACAACGTAAAAGATAAGTTAAAAGTTYAATTTTTCAAAGAAATTTCGTCCTCTGTACGCTAGTTTTGAGATCCGCAATAATTTCACCCATAATGCACTTCAACAAAAGAACCATTGCTCCAAAAAGTAATTCTATTTCAATAAGAAAATATCTAGTCGTAAGAATTCGTGCAAAAGCGGAAAACGTTCTTCACTKWCGCACAACAGAATAGTCGAACWGATGTATATAAGTTGTTGACGTGTTTTTTTCATTGTATAATTTTTAAGAACTATATCCAAACATTTATACCCAACACATTAAAAGTGCGTGCATCCTACATTTTCACGAAAATTTGTTCGTCCACACGTAAAGGGGATTTGAGTTAATAGAAAAATTTTCATGTACTGCGAACATACAGTAGTTAAATTAGGTCAATCACGTGATCACTGTTTTTCTCTATAACGCTCAGTTTTTTTTTGCGTTTGTATATAAACTCGATCGTTCTCTCGTGTATGAGCCMATCACTTTTCTTTTCGAAGCGTTTTTAAAGGTCTTGAAACTATTGAAATAAAGCTTAAAAGAGCCACTTGACGTGTCGCAGCTATAAAGGTACTTCCAGGAAAAACGCTTATGATGGGTTCAAATTGATACGTAGTTAAGCGTAGACTCACATCCTTGCCAGGCCTGTCATCTCCTATAGCAATATCGWACATTGACATCGATAACATTTTTCATTAACGAGTACAAGAAGGTGTCCACTTCAAAGAGACCACTTAAGCTTCAAACTTTCTTTCGCATTTCAATTAATTCCCGACTACTTAAAGTTTTTTTTTACGAAAAGAGTGTTCCCATAATTTAGATTTTAGTTGATTTACAATGAAAAGGACGAAAACTGTATACGTTTGTTTCGAAAAATATAGCGTTCATATATTACAGACTGAAAAAGATCTCCGCCATACTTTGTCCACAGTGATAAATAGCATGGAGTCTTGGTGTAATAAATATTGCAAGATTACAGTGGCTGCGTTGCATGGGATGATTTATAAGAGTAGAGCTGGTGTCATTCTTCAATTACACTCACTGTGTGAAGACATTTCGGTATTTTTATATTATCGAAGGGGGGCCAAGACACGTCGTGTTGTCATTTACTGTACTATATATCAAAACGAGACAAGAAAGCGTAGAATTTACTTTYCGGATTCTTTCTTAATTGGATTTTTTGGCAAAGAAGATAAAGGGAAAGTCAAAGTCCTTCGAAAAGCCGGTTTTGCTTGTTCTTCGTCCATGAATGTTTTACGACCAACGAAACCGCCACAATCAATATTTGTATCTATAATTGAAGTTCTCTCGTGTGTAAGAGGAAGATTATTGCCTTACATAACATTAACACGATAGCCATGTTTTAAATATGACAAAACATTATCATAGTGTATTTTAGAAGAACAACGTAATTTCTTTATGTCAGTGTTTACATATTCATTGTTCACACGAATGGCGATTCTCCCAATCAACAACAGCTTATGTCAGGTAGTTTCCTAGATTATCTTCAAAACAACATTTCACCAAAAATACTTGACTTTTCTGTGTGTATTGTACAACATTAAATTTAGGAACATCACTGAAAGTACTGCTTAAAATATTGTAAAATATCTAMAAAAGACAAAACCTGTACGAAAAAAAMCTAACAAAAATGCTTTTTGAATTTTGTTTCTTACAAACGCTCGGACCTCCAACTGTGGGAATTGAATCGATATCTACCACTAAAGCTAATTTTTTTCTGTTCCTACCGTCTGGTTTGCAAGTGCGTGAAAATAGCTGATGACTATTCGTAGATATCATAAATGACTGTTGCTTTCTTACGTTTGGAAGTTAAATGTAAGAAGGAATGCCAGAGTTTCACGAAACGCATTCGAAACTATTTGACTATCATCAATTACAGCACCCGTCAAATTATCCCAGTGTCATACTAGCTTGCCAAACTTTTATTTAACATAATTTCTCAACTATAATTGTGCAACTTTTCTTATACGTTACATACTTACCGACATACCATCAAGACTAGTATCAGCAGCTTGAATTCATTGTAAGACATGACTGCAGAGGTGTTTGTTCTGGTCACACACGGAGTTTTATTAGTATATATATAGACCATCCGAAGCCATGTTGCTAGGCTGCAAGTCGAATTTTCACCATAAAACAACAATTCATTCCTGCAATGCAGTAAAATGACCACATTTGAATTATTGGTAATTTGTGGAAAATGCCTGGCAGCGACGTTCTACTGAAGATATTTTTTTTTAAATTGGTTACAGCGCGAAGGTGCTTCTGGGTAAATATCGTACATTTCAACCTGATGGCTTTGCAGATGTTTGGTTTTTGCTCAAGTAACCTTGACACTTTCAAACAAAGGGAAAARAAACGCCAAAAATATTAGCACAAAAACAGGACCAAAACACACAGGTCGATATGTAATATTTATTATCAGTTTTCTAAGTTTTTGTATTTGTTTTGGGAGTCGTTTTCTGCTGCCAACAGGCTAGGAGGTGCCTTCAATTAAACACATAGATATAAATAGATCATGGAACGTAATTTGCATCAGGTTATTAAGCATCGAACTGAACACGACCTGTGTTTAAAGTATTAACAAATTTAATGTAAGCATTGCCGTCATTAAAATGTATCATTAATTACAATGTAAAAGCAAAAAACAAGTTTTGAAGATAACTATGGACATTTTTAAAAGCCCTATACACCCTTTTAATAAGTCCCGAGGTATTGTGTTTTCCGCACTTGACGTCAAATTTATTCTTTTGAAATTTTTACAATACAAAAGGAATTCAAAAGAATAAATTTGACGTCAAGTGCGGAGAACGTAATACCTCGAGACTTAAAAGGGTGTATAGMTAGACAGCCCAACCATTCCTCGAGAAAACTGTATTCTATATTTGTAAATTATTATGCTCGAGATCTGCTCGCAGGGAGCCCAATAATAAAACTATTAAGTCTGTGACAGACACTTGTTTCCATCCCGCGATACACGGGGCCGTAACGTTATACCACGGGTTTAATTCGCATTTCACTAAGAGTGCGGGTCGATAAATAAATTAAAAGTATGCGTAGCTCGTTCTTTTCTTCTTCGAGAAATGGTTGGGCAGCCTATGGCAACAAATGAGAATTCGCWACGGTACTACATCATAATAACGCGACGCACTTTGACAGATTACAATCTTGGCCAAAACCCTTAGGACTTGTCCAGTTACCTCTCTATACTCGAAACCATCCCCCCTGTMACAGTGTTGTCGACGGACCGACAGCAAACCGTCAACCAGCCAACCATAACATTGAAAGGGAAAAAAGGGGTCTAGCCAGGAAATATATGAAAGAACAAGTTATGAAAAGCTTGGACGAAACTAATGCGAMAGTCAAAACACTTTTTGTCCAAGATTCTAATTCTGTCGTGTGTCGCGCGATATTTAGACCTCCATTTGGGTAGCACTAAACACAGGGAGTCTGCATTTTATCAGTTTTATCAATACAGATATATACAGCCTTTTGCACAAATTATGAGACATTTTCATATATATAAATATACCTAACCAAATATCAAAAACACCCAAGAAATTATGGGATACCGTCGCTGATATTTTGTCTGTAACAACCTGATGCTAGGCAATCATGACAAAATATCAGCGACGGTATCCCATAATTTCTTGGGTGTTTTTGATATTTGGTTAGGTATATTTATATATATAAAAATGTCTCATAATTTGTGCAAAAGGCTGTATATTTATATATATATAAAAATGTCTCATAATTTGTGCAAAAGGCTGTAAATATATCAATATATCAATATAAAAGTGTGCGACAAGACCACATTACTCATGATATGTACAGCGTTTGGTAACAGTATTTCTATAGACCTGTCTATATGTAAGTACAGATTTTTCTCTACAAATGACCAATCACTTCCGGTGTTGCACGCTCGCAGAATTCCTCGGGAAACCGAAATAACATAATAAACATGGCGGACGATAGCGAAATTTCTTTTTGAAGTAAGCGATAGGCTACTACTTAATAGTCGATGAAAGAATGGTCTAAAAAACGACGCGTCTATGAAGAAACATAGGGACATTCCTATTTATAAGGACATGGACGCTACTAGAAATAGGCTCCCGCACGCGATTGAGCTATGATTAAAATATACACAAAGCTATCTCAAGGATTGGTTGGGCTGTATGTGGAAGAAACATCATAGGTTTAAGCGACGTTTTTTAATTGCGTTCTACATTAAAATTTTTCTAAGATGAGTGAAAAGAGATTCGAGTTGTTTTCATAATTACTGTTTGACTATTTTCRAGAGCAGTTTKTGGATTCAGCCCTAGATAATATTAGGCTTGTCGAGAAAGTAGTAACAAGATTAATACTGAAAAATACAATCTATTCAAATCATGCCATCATTGYCGCTAAAATTGTTTCAATGCAACAGCAAAAATAAGGTAATTAGAATCAATTTCTATCAATTTTTTTTGCTAATTATGATATCGACGTGGACTCGAAGAATGACTATGTAACTCACAAGTTACTGGCTTCAAAGCAGTACGACTACCCGCTTACAGCTGGCCATATTCCCATACATATGGCCATATTCCCTATCGGGAAACTTAATTTCTTGTAGCGTACTAACATAACCAAGGAAGGCATTTTAGATCCCAAACTACAAAGTATCATGACAAATTACCTTAACGCGAGTTATGATTGAAGATGAGGCTATTTCCACCTGTACTGAGATTTTAAGAATAGTCAATTCGACTAKACTGCRCGGAGTTCATTGCAGTGCTCTGCTTTGGTCTTCCTCCTGACATTTCTGTCTAAAGCTGTAAGCTCGTCTCCGAAGCATTCAATTAGACMATAGATAGTGTGGTTAGGCAGTTTTTTTTTAGTTTAATGGTTAGACAGTTTTCAAAATGGGCTAATTTRATTTTGGAGCTATGGTTGGAGGGGTTGGGGTGAGTCTGGATGGGAGAGGCATAGCTTTTTCATCGTGAGAGGGGACTTCATATATTACTTTTGGCCTTTTTTTTGCTCATTTATGAACCCAACATCCATGACGATTACTGCGCAGTCCCTACTCCATAGCTATTCACACACATTATACATACTGGAAAACTGTTTATTTGTAAGTTATATGTGTCCATATCTACAATCTCTCTTTATATCTATATTACTTCCAATGTCAGTATTTATTAGTGAAGGCACAAAACCCGTTTAATGCATGCTAGAATAATACACATTAATTGCTTCTGTTTCATTAAACCGAACTCACACTGTTACCATGATAAATATGCTACATTGGGGCGGGTTGTACGAAGTGCGATTGCCACTATCCACCGGATAAATCTTTATCCAGGGGATAAAATCCATGCAACTTTATCCGGTGGCTAAATTCGTACAACCGTCCCATAGTTACTAATACATCTAMTTTTTATTTATACCTTATCGCAAAACGTTGTCCTGACTAGATTTGGGGAAGATTTCTAGTCAAGCTGAACCATGACTATCTACTGTAATTGGATTACGTCCTAAAGCACTTAAGTTCTTTTTTTTCATAATATTTTTGCAATAAGGTGGACACCGAATGATGTCTGGAAAGTGTTTATGATAATTACTATAAATTTTACGGGTTTAGAGCCTTCACTTTACAGGTTTTCCCCCGAAAAACAGAGCACTCAACTTTATTCTACTACAACGATTTCACAAACGCCAACACGCGTTGTCCGAAACACCGGTAGATTTTATGGGTCAGTTTGGCACACCGTACTACATTCTACAAATTGTACTGGATGGATGGCAAAAGAATGTAAACAACCTCAAAAACAAAAGGAACRCAGCCCGCCAAGCTTGACTTATCTTTGTTTTGAAAATCCCAGTGGGTATTTTGCCATCCAGTATGGCGGATTTTGTACCATGTGACCGCTTCATGCAAAAGGCCTATAACGTCAACATAGTATCAAAACTGTGTAGAGTGAGTAACATCATTTCTGGGACGCTGTCCAAGGTTTATTTCAATCACATCAATCTAAAGAATTGCCACTTTACTAGATGATCAACATTTTATCACTGATTCCATAAGCTGTAGTTTCAGTCTCCGATCTTTCCGTTTGTCGCCCAAATTAGCGATAAAAAAACAAAAAACAAAAAACAATCGACAGAAAGGGCCGACGAACGGAATCAGCATAGTGCATTTTATCTTAAAATTCTCGTAAAAACCTTTTTGACCACATTGGTGAGAAAACAATGAATATTAGTATTGTATCGAATGAAGTCTGTTATCAGTAAGTTGGTAGTCTGTGCTTCCAAGCTTTCGCTGTCTACAGCATCGTCAGGGAATGAAGATTGAACACGGAACACAGAGTTGTGAAACGCTGAGCGATCAAGTGTAASGCCAATGTACGATGCTGTAGACAGCGAAAGGCTTGGAATCGCATACTACCAACAAGTAGCATCTAAGACTTCATTCGATACAATCCTAATGTRTGCATTATGCTGCTAAAGGAAAACTTCATACGTTTAAAAAATGGAATGTTTTTAGTTATTAGCTTCTGGCATTGCTCAGTTTCGCTATAACGATCGCACTCGACAAACAAACCTTGGACAGTGTCCTTGGAACAAGGTGTGTGGGGGACGGGAGGTGGTGTATCGTCCTAACCACGYGCATCATTACAAGGCCAAACAAACAATCCATCGACCAATGTGACCATTGTCCTTCAAATACCATTGAAGTGATAAATAATAAACAATCTTTTCTTGCTAATGGYATAATTTGTATTGTTTGAAAGGCCTTGGTTTACTTACAATGTAACATTAACGAASTTATAAAATGTACAGGATTACTTTATTGCCGATCGCTCTAGTTAGTTGTCAAGACAACGGTAAATCCAGCAACAAAACGTTTTATCGAGGAGGGAAAACACACACGACTGACTGGAGGTTCATCCTTCATGTAGTCTGTCTGATGTATCTCAATCATAGTCTTTATATTCCCAGATATCTGTATCATATCCTTCATATACATGGTCCAGTAAGGCTTTTCTTCTRGCTTCACAGTATCTAAACRACAAACSGATCGTACAGTAAAATRTATACACCTAATTGCAAAAACACTGTCAGAGAGAAATAGAACATTTTGTATTTAGTCAAAAGGAATACATTATAAAGACAAGTGCGCGTTTTTTCACAGTGATGAGTATATATAGTGTAGTTCTCACTATTGAAGTACACCTTTTGCTGTTCATTAACCGCGAAGGGACTTTCAATCAAGCGAAACTGCATTGTCTTTAGCGCGAACGAACGTTCATTAACGCTTAGGGAGTTTCAAGAGCGTGAAGGGAGAATCATTAACATATTTAGCATAGACATGGACAATCATGCATAACTGGGCGCAGATTCATTAACGTTTTCAAACCTTCATTAGCCCATTATGTGCATTCAATAAACTACAACAAACATACAATACCAAAATACGGACATTTAATTTCGTCATAGTTTTTGCAGTCAAATTTCAGCATGAAATATGACTCGTTACAGCTACTACGACTTGTTTAAAGTTGGAATGCAATGCCTCCGCGTCGACATCGAATTTCGAGCGAAGTGAAAGAGCGTCTTGTAAGAGCGTATGAGGACCCGGCCGAGGATTATCTAGCGGTTGCCGCTACATTGGGGGTTAATAGTTCTACCGCAACCATATGCAAACTTATTTACCAAGATGCTTAAATAGAGAGCATATTCAAGGATGAAGATAATTTTTGTATGTAAAATATCACACTTATTAAACACTCTTTAAATCCTAGAAATAAATACTATGACGAAATTAAATGTCCGTATTTTGGTATTGTATGTTTGTTGTAGTTTATTGAATGCACATAATGGGCTAATGAAGGTTTGAAAACGTTAATGAATCTGCGCCCAGTTATGCATGATTGTCCATGTCTATGCTAAATATGTTAATGATTCTCCCTTCACGCTCTTGAAACTCCCTAAGCGTTAATGAACGTTCGTTCGCGCTAAAGACAATGCAGTTTCGCTTGATTGAAAGTCCCTTCGCGGTTAATGAACAGCAAAAGGTGTA